TTTGTTTTTTCAGTTTAATTGGAAACATGAAGTCCAACTATTCTCACTTAGATGTTGAAGTCTTTGTAAATTTCATTTTGTATAAAATGTTTCAGTAATATTATTGCTTTCTCATCAGCCAGCAAGCACATTTTAGTATTAGTTTTTTTGAACATTTATTAGAAGACAACGAATCTTTAGTTTTTAAAAAATTATTTAAAGACAAAGAGTAAGCAGTGAATCTCAAATTTAGTATTTTAACAGCTTCCTAAACTTGACAGCTCCTAATACTGTGCTTTTGTGGAGAAGGAGACAACCGCTGCTTGTTTATGCTGCTGTGCAGTGTGTTAAAATTGGTTTAAAAGTTAGATAGTGGAGTCCTAGCCAGTTTAGCTCAATGGATAGAGCACTGGCCTGTTGACTGAAGGGTTCGATTCCAGTCAGGGGCACATGCCTGGTTGCGAGCTCGATCCCCAGTGAGGGGCGTGCAGGAGGCAGCTGATTAGTGATTCTCTCTCATCATTGATGTTTCTGTTTCTCCTCCCTTCCTCTCTGAAATCAATAAAAATATATTTATAAAAAAAGGTTGGATAGTGAGAAACATCCCCAAGTGATTGAACACAAATAAAAATTAAGCAGTTCTTAAAAATTTTTTCTGGATTGTGCTTAGTGTTAAATACGGAGAAAAAGGCATAGATACTATTTACACATCTGGTGTTAGATCAATAGAAATCCAGGAAGCAGTAGGATATGTGGTAACTATATTTAAAGAACTTTAACAGTCTCCACATTTCATTTTTAAGATGTTACTGTGGGTTTTTTGTTATGTAATTATCCAAAATGAGAATGGTAGAACTTTAGCACCAAAAGAAACTTTAGAGACTATCTAGCTGACCTCCGTATTTTACAGATGAAGAGATTGGAGTCTGGGAGGTTGTAAATCATCTGCATGGTCATGTGTCTATGAATTGGTAGAGTAACCTCTAGACCTTTGCGTTAGTAATAAGTCCAGAATTCTTCCTCCTGTCTTGCACTTCTTCAGTTTTTTCACAGAATTTAATGTGCATTCTAGGGAAGTACAAAATATCTGGTGATGCATTTTGTCTAGTAATGCATTCTAAAAATCCATTTGAGGTAGAAATACAAAGATAGGTTAAAAGACAGTTTTACACTTTTAGTAATAAGCACATATTCTGCCTAAGAAGTTACTGCCCTAGTACAGGTGGTATTTTTCATCCATAACAAAGCTTTAAGATTTTTAGCTTAAACAAACCATTTTATTTAATAATGTACCTATGATATGTAAACTAGTTTCAATTATTCGGGGGTTTGTGAGGAAACCGTGCAGATCTCTAGAAAACATTAGAGCCATGATCTTGTTGGTTAAGGAAAAAAGTGAAGTACGGCTTTGTACAACTAAAACGTGCGTGATTTCTTATTCCCATTGTCTTTTACTAACAATGTAAATTTTAACTGTGGTCTATTTTTAGGGAAAATGGGAAGTCCCTCTGCCCAAAGTTCGTGCCCAGGGAGAAACAGAGGTATTAAAAGTTATTCGAACAGGAAAGAGAAAGAAAAAGGCATGGAAGAGGATGGTTACTAAAGTCTGCTTTGTTGGAGATGGCTTTACTCGAAAACCACCTAAATATGAAAGGTTCATTAGGCCAATGGTAAGTCCCTTGCAAGAGTGCAGTGGCTCACATATTAGTTCCTGTATTAAACTAGATAAAGTACATTAGTTTCCTGAAATTCCTAAATTGATATAAAATACTAGTATAGCTTGAAAGACATTTTAAGATTGTTTTTGTTATTTTAAATTTTAAAGAATTGCTTAGGACTTTTCCACTATCATCAAAATCTTGTCTTCAGTTTCATAAGAGATTTGAGATGAAAAAATTTCCATTACGTTGTCAGTGAATCTTCACTTTTAAAAATGGCTTATTAGGATCTTCATTTTCCACATGAAGTAATTTTATTCATTTAGTAAGTGATCTACTATATGCCTGACTCTTGTTTGAGAGCAGTTAAAAAAGTTGAGTAGGGCTGTTTTCAAGAGTCAATTCTGGTTTACTAAGGTGAGTAGCTTAATGCTTTGAAAACATTCAGTATTCAAACATTGCATTAAGCAAGTTTAATGTAAAAGTGGGACTTTACTTTCTGTTGACAGCAGTAATGGTCAAAACCAGTCAACCCCCCCCCCCAACCAAATATAATTGAAGATACATTTTTACAAAAGCCTTTAAACAGACTGAATTATTCTCCCAACTGGGTACCAGCCTGCTTAGAGAAACAAAGAATAAGAGGAAAGT